GGCTAGGGGGGTCTGTATTGCTGTGGGTGCTCCCTGGGTTGCGGGGGCCGGTATGGCTATGGTAGACCCTATGGATCTAGCTATTGCAACCCTTACTCCTACTGGAGCAACAGGTACCTCCGTGGCAGCTGTGGGCCCTGCTAAATGCAACAACAATATCCGCTGAGTAAGGAATAACTGGCAACGGAGATATACAATCTTGATCCACAGCAGTGGTCCTAAAGGAGATGTTGTGAAATCCTGGTCGCTGTCACCCCACTGCAGTGGAGCTGGGAGCACACAGCATGTCCTTAGTTTCTTCACCCTCTACTCATCATCTTTTGGGCTTTTTTCCAACTATGTGTGTAATGGGTGGGATAAAACAAGTAATTCATTTTACAAAATGGCGCTTCATTGTACAACTGAAGAAGAACAATTATGGGAAGAATTGCCTGCACTCTAACACGTTCTTGATATTCTATAATACTTTTCTCTGAATGTTTATTTCTCATTAAAGTGATTCTATTTTGCATCAAACAAATCAACTTCTAGTTTTAATTTCTTCTGCTATGGATATACAACTCTCCTCTGCAAATTGGGAAAACTCACATTCTTACATACGATGGGACTCAGACTTCAAAAACACATCTGAAATGGCCCAACTACCAGTGAAATCAGTCACTTTTTGTTGCACTCAGTGCACACATTTGGGAGCAGGAATTGTCCATCCCCAGCTGGCCTGGGTTACGATAATAACATTATGTTTAGAAAGAAACCACGCTAAATCTCTATTCCCTAATGAGCCACTTGAACAGCTTTGCTGAGCATAGTAAGAGCAGAGCTAGTGGCTCAGCTGGGGCTGGATTCAAAGCAGATTATGGGCAACAGGGTGGTGGATGAAGCCCTCGGGTAAGAGGGAGGCTTCTGAGTCAGAAGGGATTTAAGGAGGTGGGAAGAGGGTGGTGAAGGGTGTTAGCATGGAGCTGCTGAAAGGGAGAGGATTGGAGGGACTGCAACAAGGAAAAGAGCTCTTCAGAGGTGGGCAGAATATCTAATGGACTACTTGGGTAAGGAATATCATGGAACAGGTTATAAGTTAGAGCTGCTGAAAATGACTGTCTCTGTTGTGAGGACTTCCTGTGGAGAAGGAACTGGGAAACACAAGAACAGTGTTGAGGATATGTATATGAAGTTATGACTTTTTCTACTAAAGCTTTCCAGGCACCATAACTCTGTTCTATCTGTTCCAGCTGTTCTTGCTGGTATAGATGAAGCAGCCCTTGGGGTTGCTGTGTTAAGTAGCTGTTTTTCTGTCAAAAAACATCCAACAGCTTAGATTTCATGATGGTACAATTCGGTTTTAAAAGTTCTGTTTTACTGGCCCAAAAGACTTTCTTTCTTTAAGGATTTGACATAAAATTAATTCAGCTTTCTGCAGAGACTATTACAGATGACAGAATTTAAGTATTGAGTGAGAATCCAAAATTACAAGAGATGAGTCAGAGACTTACCTGGAAGGAATTCTTCATAAAGTCTAATGTTTTTAGGAAAGAGTTTAAAATGAGTTATTTATTTTTTAATTTCCCTGCCACTACTAATCTGCAACCAGTGGATGTACAGTCAGAAAGATGAATTCTTAAAAAATGTCCAGAAACTTTATATGAAAAATGGGGACAGCAGTTTCCTCTGTGTTGAGGCTTCACATTGCTTCTGTGTATTTGAAATCCCTGATATTTTGGGAAGGACATTCACCTACATAGTTTAAGCTGTTACTGACAGCTACACAGGTTAGATTCCTTGTAACACAAGTAACAAGGCTAAAAACATGTGAAAAGAACACTAGAAACCAATAACTTTGATGCCATAAACTTTTAATTGCAGTAAGAAAAGCAATACATTTTCAGAGTCTCCAAGAAGTATGAAACTGTTCTCCAGTCAGGGATACATTCATATATGATCGATTTTTTTTGCTTCCTGAGTCTTAGCTGTTGATCTGAACAAACAGGAACTATTTTGAGCAACATTGTTATGTTTACCTCAGGCAATATGGAAATGTGAAGGGAGGAGCATTGAGGCAGAAACTGAAAGTAGAAGTTAAGAGCAGAAATTCAAAAGGGGTTGAAGAGGTACAGCTCTGTGGTCTTGGAACGGAACAGTGGAGGTTCAGACCTCTTCAGCTGTGAAACGATCACATCTTGTTTGCTGGTTATACCTGACTTGGGATATTTCTGTAGGATTTAGCAGGGCCCACAGCTGCCACGGCGGTACCTGCTGTACCGGTAGGAGTAAGGGCTACAAGAGCCAGAACCGTCCCGTGGCCCGGGGGGGAGCCATAGCCCCCATAGCCTCCCAGACCCCCATAGCCCAGGGAGGACCCATAGCCTCCCAGAACCCCATAGCCCAGGGAGGACCCATAGCCCCTCAGAACCCCATAGCCCAGGGAGGACCCATAGCCAAGTGAGTTAGAGCCTCCAAGGATGGGTGCTCCAGAGGATCCCACAACCGAATCCTGGGGGAAAGAGCTGAGGATGGGGCCAGGGAAGGTGACGACGACTGGAGGCGGCTGGATCACAGTCGTGGAGTCGGGGCACTGACGCACACACGGCTCATTGCAGCTGTCAGTGAGTGGCTGAGGGCGGTAGACGCCACAGGCAGAGGTGGAGCACAGGTCGTAGCAAGACATCTTGCAGGGATGGAAGTTGGTCTGTAAAACATGGTTGTTTATGTTACAATAAAGAAATATGAAACATGAGGTTATGATGAAGCAGTCCAACAGGGTATCAGTAATAAATCTGGGAAGTAAACATATTTTCTATTACTCTTCTTCCTAGCACTGTAATCTGGAGGGTAGTTTTGATTTTAGTAAGACAGAGTGCTGTACTTTCCAATTGCGTCTTCGGTATTTCCAGATGAACTGATTTTGATAGGATTGCATTACTATGAATTGATGTTTTCTGTTTAGTAAGTTTGAACTTTCCTGTCATAAACTCAGCAGAACTCTTCTAAATGCAGCCATATACATCTATGTATATGAACTATTCTTTATCTCCTAAAATAGTCGATTAATTCTTTGAAGTGCTAAAATGTTACAAGTGTGGGATTCAAAACTGCTTGCTATACCCCTCTTCTGGAGCCTGTCTTTACAGGGCCCAGTAATGAATGAGAAACCAAAGATTATTTCCATCAGCAAATAGCCTACTGATCACTGGCAGCCTGGCAGTAACTGAAGAGAACTTGGTTCAAAGTTAAAAAAGAGTTCTTGACAGCAAGTTAAGTTTAGCAAAGTTTGAGAGAAGTCTGACTTACCCAAGTCACGAAGGCGAGCAAGGCGAGAGAAGTGGATAGAAAGACTACATGCAGAGAGCTTTTATACAGCTCCTTTGATTGCCTGGGGGACATTAGGCATCCTATAGGTGAGTTCATAATTAGGTACCAACCCCAAATTGTAGGACACGTAGCTCCTCAAAGTGCTGAAATTGTTTTTGCTTATTGCTGGTGCATTGCAGGCACTTCAAACCCACGCATAGCGTGACAAGGACACTCTGTTGTCTCCAGGCTTGATGTGTGGAATTATTTATTATTCCATTGCTCTCTTTAGCATTAGGGGAGGAGTTAAGCTGACTTGATTTATTCAAGAGTGCTGCATAATTAGGATGACAGAAGGATAGTAATATCTTTTGTCCAGTTACAGGTCTTTAAGTGTAATCAACAGTCTACCTTTCGACAAAATGGAATTTTTTTCAGGATCTCAGATGAAGAGTGAAGACAAATAACAAGGTAGAAACATTCTTTCTGCAGACTTAGCACTTCTACCTCCAGTTACTCAATACAAGACAAACCTAATAATCAGGAGCACCTTTTGATGGCTTTTGGATGGTTCTCTACTAGTTGTCCTTCAGTCCTGTGAACAGAGAAACATTTCAGTCGGCAGTCACAAGTCTATGGAAACTGATTTTTCTGAATTGTTTTATTGAGCTTTGCTTGCCTTTACATTTTGTTGTGTTTTCTCCTACTATTGTTATGTATACATAGGAACATAGGACAAAGACAAGCAAGTAAACCAGGCAGTAAGAAATGCCTAATGGAAAGGATTCTAACGCTGACACAATGAAGACAGACACCCTTGCCCCCTGGGTTGGTTGTTTTTTGGCTAATAGTTCAGTTAACATAAGCAATTTTCTGTTTCTGGACCAAAGTGCACTTTAATAAAAAAGAGGATAGATTTTATTTTTAAAGTCAAAGAAAGGAAGGTCCAAGAAGTGTTATCAACTATGAACTGATTACAGGAAAGACCCATGTGACCTTAATTTACCTATTTTATGGTGATAATCTCTCATAATGGTGGGGTGTGTACATCCAGATATACTTTTTATATAATTATGACACAGTATGTGCAAGCTAGTAATGGGTGTTCATGAGGTATTTGAAAATCCCTTGGAATGTTCTTGTAAAAGTCTGAGGTGGCTTTTTTCAGTATTATAGCTCAGGAAATCTCCATATGTATCTCCAGATTTGGAAAAGCTCATAATTTAGAAACAATATGTGGTCTGAAGATAACCACGTTGACAACTATGATAACCATGATAATGATATAGTATTACGGTAATGGCATAAAGAAAGAAACCTCAGCAAAAGCCAGCATTTGCCTTTCCAAATGGATTCCCACCTCATAATTGCTTTCTACAGAAAGATGCCATCAACGATGGCATTAGCCACAAGATCAGTTGTAGACCAGGAACTGAGGCCTCCTGAGGACCAAGCTAGAAATGAAAGGAAACTTCAGGAAAATGTACTCTCTCAAACACGTGAATCAAACCAAGCTGAAAGTTTTGAGTGTCCCTGACTGCTTATGATTTCAGATATTCACCGCGAATCTGTCCACTTTTTCATGTCACTTCCATGGCACTCTGGACACTTTGATGTCTAGCAGGTTGCTTTTATGTATTGGATATGCAGGTGAAAAGAGCTGCAGAAATCCTTTAACACTGTGAAAGGTCTTTGATTTAAGCAGGAGTTCAATGTACCTGCAGACATGCCAGAAGAAGGGCAGAGATAAAACATAGAAGATCCGCACATGGGACACCTCTAAGAATTGCATATTTTGGGGTGAATCTGTTGAGTTGTTAATGCTGTTGAGACTGGCTTAGTCTTTTACTCTGAAATCTCAGTTGACAGCTCTCTTCCTTTGAAAAAAGAAAGGCTTTTTTTCTAATGCAGTTAAATTTGGAGTTTCTCCTATATACCTCCTACAAACCTACACAGCTAGCTCAGTAAATCAAAAATGAAGATATTAATTCAACATATGCTTTGATTATTTTGAGCTCTCCATCCTGAGATTTAAAAACATAAATATCTTTCCATTGAGACCTAATTTCAGCTTTAAGCTGTAGTTTGAGCGTCAGATAAAACCTAAGGCTATTTCGGGCATTTGCCACTCTGTGTTCAGGAGTGTTCATAATATAATTTGATTAGAAGAGTACTGAGAATTGTCCACAGATTCTGATGTTAATTGTATCATCTCAGAAATAAACACAAAAAATATTGCCTGTCTTCCTGAGGATTTAGAAATAGACTGTATTTTATCTTTAAGAAGAGAGAAAACATACATAAGGGACTTACAAAGAAACACCTCACAGCAGTTTGTTCCTGAATAAGTCAGCAAAAGTAGAATATCTATGTATAAGCAGCTCATTACACCATGCAACTCCAAAGAGAACAGAAAACTGATATTAATTTCATGAATCATGTTTTAGGATGAAAGATGCATTAATTTCACCCATCAGTCTATTAGATGAAAGAACCTTGCATGATGTAATGTGCGTGTTATGTTACATGATAATTGAAATCAAGTAATAAACAAAAACAGAAAGCGAAACAATTTCATCACCTTGCAGAGCTATCAATACAAAAAATGTGCCATGTCAACTAATTAGATCCACATTCACAAGACCAGCCTCTCACCCCTCAGGCAGTCTGAACTGTATAAAAGCTCTCTCCACTCAGGGTTCTTCCAACCTCTGCTCTTCACTTGCTCTTCTCAGCAAATTGGGTAAGTCTGAATCTACTTATTACGACTGTTGGAGTAGCTCTTTGCTATGCAGTTTCATCTAGGATAGTCTCTTCCATTAACAACTAGCAGGTAAAATTTTAGGTGAAAAGACAAGGCTTACAAAAATGGTTAAAAGTGTTCTGGACAGCTGTTCTCTGCACTTAGGGTTGGCATTTAATTTCAAAGCAGACTGAAAGTTCCTTGATATGGCAGAAAATTAAGTTCATTATTAGTTCACTTGCAACAGCTGAAGAAATGATGTGACTAGTTCAGTGTGCATTCCTCTCCTCTGTTTGTTTATATGGGTAACTGGAAATTATTTGGAATAAGTTTAGACCTTCAGAAGCAGACTTCCCATGATCTTCATTTTATTCTATCACAGAGCACTTGAAGTGCTTTTACACTTATTCAAGATAAATGGGCATGAATACTACCAGAGATCAGGCACTGGCTTAGATAGAGTATGACACGGAGGGGGGTTGAGAGCTGTTGAAAGTGCTCTAAGAAATTTATTTAATTAAGAGGAAGAGGGGTCATGGGCAGAACTGAAGGCACTGACAGGTGAAGCGCTGGGGTTTTTGTGTTAATAGGGGCAAGTTGTTTGGGGTGAGATTTTTTTCAAAGGATTTCGGAGCATAGAATCAAAACACTGTGTTGTTAAACTAGTTGTAAATAACTCGGTGTCTTGATTCAATGTTTGGAAATTGGGGGCAGTAATCTTTGCAATTCCCTTGTAATGGTCTCCTCAAACAAGCTACTGAGCAAATCTGAATAGACAACGACTTATAATCCCTGTTCTCACAAGGCTCAGCACAAAGGGGATCAGTGGGAATGAAGAGTTAGAGTCATGAAATCACGCATAACAACACTCTCTGTTCTTGGAGGCCCCGTCTTTGCTGATCCACTGACTCACCAAAGCATCTGAGCAAATAATTTTGCTATTCTGCTTCAATTTTCATTTGTAATAGACGTGGGTAAATTGGTGTGCTTCAAAGCACTGTTGTCTGAGGAAAGGCAGTGAACTCTACAGCACTTTTATGTATGTAAATAACATCTTATACTTTGTAAAATAAACTCTTGTAGATTGACCTCCACCCCTGCAAGATGTCTTGCTATGACCTGTGCTCCACCGCTGTTGGTGGCATCAACCGCCCTCAGCCGCTCACTGACAGCTGCAATGAGCCGTGCGTGCGTCAGTGCCCCGACTCCACGACTGTGATCCAGCCGCCTCCAGTCGTCGTCACCTTCCCTGGCCCCATCCTCAGCTCTTTCCCCCAGGATTCGGTTGTGGGATCCTCTGGAGCACCCATCCTTGGAGGCTCTAACTCACTTGGCTATGGGTCCTCCCTGGGCTATGGGGTTCTGGGAGGCTATGGGTCCTCCCTGGGCTATGGGGGTCTGGGAGGCTATGGGGGCTATGGCTCCTCCCTGGGCTATGGGGGCTCCTCCCTGAGCTGTGGAGGTCTGTACGGCTATGGGGGCTCCCTGGGTTACGGGGGCCTGTATGGCTATGGTAGATCCTACGGTTCTGGCTCTTGCAGCCCTTACTCCTACCGGTACAGCAGGTACCGCCGTGGCAGCTGTGGGCCCTGCTAAATCCTGCATAAATGTCACTTGACTAAAGAATGACTGGCAAATGCATGATATAATCTTGATCCTCAACTGAGCTCATAAGTGAAGAGCAGAGCATCAAAGACTTCCACTTAATACAGTGGAGTCAGAATAGCTCCATAAAATACACTTCTCATTTCCTTCTTCATTTGCTTCACCTCCTCTTCCTTGCCCCTGTCCATGGCCAAATGTGTAACTCCTCCATTCTACCAGAGGACATTTGCTCCTCCCTGAAACTTCCACCTCCGGGGAGAAGCCTGAAGGAACATCTCTCTTGAAGCCTGCCAGGACAACCTGCCTGCCTCTGCCTTGTGTGTCTTTCTCCTGTGGCTGTTTTCTTCCCCTTGCAATAAAACAAGCCTTCATCCAACAGCTGCCTCTCCATTTTGTCCTTTCAAAGCCCTGCATGTGTTTGCTGCCATCCAGGCCAGGGCAGTCTCCCACCCCCAGCAGAGCCAGAGAGAGCTGCCTATGGGGACACCACACACAGTCCTGCTGATCTGCCCAGTTTTTCACTGCTACTGAGTGGAAACTGTCATCTTCTCTACACTAATTATTCTAGCTTTTGGACTTCCAGTAGTTAGTACAACTTTTTTTCACCAGTTAATTTGATGCAGGAACTCCTTTTAATTTTCAGTCTTCTCAGATTATGTGCTAGAAATTGTCAAACTCTGTTCAAAGACAAAGTGAAAAAATGTGGCCTGAAGTTCTGTCAAAGCATATTCTGAAGAGGAACAATAGGAGGAAGGTGAATAATGGGAAACAATTTTTAAGATAGGTATCTGACAAGCAAGGATCAGGCACTAACTTTTCTCTTTTCGTTAATCACTTGTGATAAGAGTTGCCTCAGGGAAGTTTTGGCTGAGTCTGTGAGTCAGCTGGGTGAAGTGAAAAGAATATAAACTAGTGCGTTACAGAGGATTTACCTATTACTTCACTAAAACTCTTTCAAAGAAAAGTTATGTGCATGAATGTAGAATATTGTGTTCTCGACCCTCTGTCAGTGTCATGGAATAGCAACTCTGATTTTGATATGTAATTTCAACGTTCCCCTTCACCCCAAATGTAACTGGAGAGATCAGATGGCTGTGTGCTGCAAGCAGAAACAGGTTGAAATGAGAAATGGTCTACGGTACTGATGGATCTCACTTTTATTTTCAGAAAATACTATTTTATTTTTATTGATCAACAAATTTTCATCGAGACTATTTTGACCGAAAAAAGCCCTTCACTGGAAGGTTGTCCCCTCTCTGCCTGCTCCATCCTCCCTGTCCCAACACTGTCTGCCCTCACGGCCCTAGGCTTTTTGGGAAAGGTGTAGGGGGGTCTGGGAAGGGACTGGAGCTTGCAGGGCCCATCTGAGAGCCCAGCCCCTACCCATGAGTGCCTGGGATGTGTGAAAAGCCCAGGCAGCTGAGGTGGAGAAGAAAGGCTCCTGCCTTTTGGGCACAAGGAAATGGGTCTTTGTCCCTGCTGCTGCTCTCCATCCTCATGTGGCTGAGGCAAGCTGCCATGAACTCCCAGGAGCTCAGCAGCCAACCTCCTGGATCGTGTGGTGCCAGCCCTGCACCTCTTTGGCTTAAGTACCTCTCTTGTGCTGAGCAAAGCCCTCTTTCTTCCCAGCTAGTTCAGCCCAGGGCAGTTCCTGGGACAGCTTTACAAAACTCTTGTACTTTGTTTCCATTTCTCTTCTGTTCAACACTAGGATCCTTGCTGTCATGCACAACCCCCAAGAGTTACTTCAGGGTAGTTCATAAGTGACCACAGCGGAACACCTGAGCTCCGACTGCCAACTTTTCCACTGATTCTCTCAATAATATAGTGTCACGCAGGTACCAGCCAGCATCTAATTAGATGTGTATTGTGTCAGACAGCAAGTGCCTAGCCCAAGATAACAAGATTGGTGAGAGTTATTAGCACCCAGCTAACATGATTACGTAGCTTCTGTTTGGGCTGGATGCTTGTTCAGAGTGAGCTCATGTCTGATTGCAAAATAGTACATAAAGATATCCAGTGTTTCATGTTGTATGGCAGTTATAGGAATGGAAGGAGCTTATTACATTGGTTACTCAAGGATCAGTCTCGGAAAACCTCTAATTATTTGCTTGTATTAATGGCATTAGCATAATATTTGTGAGCATTCTGTTTTGTGTGCTGATAACATAAAGCTGATTGGCATTAAACAGGAGGGAGTCAGACTTCCAGATTGGAAAAACGAGATGGCTTAACTGATGGGAGTGAGAGTAACAGTATGACTTTAGTAATACAGGGCAAAGCTATGCACCTGCTGACTATGGAGAAAAGATGTGGTGTAACGAAATCTATAATCTGAAAGAAGTGACAGAAGAGAAAAATTCTCTGAGTAGCCCCAAATAGGTGATGGTAAGATATAGAGAGATTGCATGCTCTTGAGTGAATCCACTGTAAATTCAGAATACCAGAGAGTAGCGGTAATATAAGCAGAACCTGTAAAAACAAGGGGAAGGGCATATCCAATTTCCCTTTAACTGACAACATGTCACTACTCCAAAAGACAGGGGGAATCCAAGAAATTCGAATGGCACTAATCTTAATTTCATATATACTGCAGTAGGGGCTAAAACAATGTTGTGGGATGGGTCATCATGAGTAAAAGTAAGAAAGAGATGATCTGTGTTTCCTTTTGACCACAAAGGAGTTATAAATTCCCTGAATGTGATACTGTAGAAATTTTGTAGAAGTACAGAGACTTGAGCAGTGAGAGGGCAGTGTGACGCCTTCTTCTGGAAGACCATGAACAGTAGCTGAGACACCACCCTCTAATACATGAGTATTATGGCGATAATATATATCTGGACACATTTATACATATAATTATGAAAAATATTTATTGAAGAGGCATCTATAGTCAATCAGCCTGCTCCCAATTCATTGCTACGCTTCTGTAATTGACTCAATTCTCTCTCTCTTATATAGGAAAAGAAGATTTTCCCTGAGTTGAGCACCATTTCTCTGGAGCTGGAGAAAGAGATAGCAGGAATCACCTCTTCTCACTTAGATATGGCAAGAAGTATGATATACCCTTGTGAAATACGGAGAGACAAGCATTTGCCCTCCCCCAATTACCAAGCACCAAACTTCCTATAAGAACACACTGAGACACATAATGGATGCAAGAAACCTTTATTGTGCCCAGAGGAGCAGGAGAGACTGAGAGTCTCAGAGAGATGATTGTCAAGACCCAGAGAGGCTGGTTGTGACATGTAGAGGGAAACAAAGGGATCTTTTCAAGAGTATCGGTTCTCATTCCAGATGCCCTCTAGGTGCAGAATTCCACATCACAAGCACATGGTCCACCAGCCTCACAGGAACTTTTGGTTGCATCTCCAGCCCTTTGTGACAGCTGAGATGAGAGGAGAAGCAAGGAGAGCAGAGGGCAGGAGAAGAGCACAGGGAAGGGCAGACAGTGTAAAGCACTATCAGCTGACATGGCATGCTCAGCATTCCTCGGTGCCCCATGGCCACCAGCTCAGCCCAGTTTGGGTGCTGGGGGTGTTGGTGTGTGGGCTGAGGTCAGGGCCTTTGTCTGGGCTGCATTTAGCAGGGCCCACAGGTGTCCCACAGCTTCCTGCTGTAGCAGGGCAAGGCACAAGGGCTGTAGGCAGGAGAAGCATAGGGTCTGCCAAAGGTGCAGAGGCCCCCCGAGCCCAGCGTGGCACCAGAACCGTAGAGGCCCCCCAGCCCCAGGGAGCCTCCAAAGGCCGGTGCTCCGGACGAGCCCACCACGGCTTGCTGGGGGAAGGAGCTGAGGATGGGGCCGGGGAAGGTGACGACCACAGGCGGTGGCTGGATGAAGGCTGAGGAGTCGGGACACTGCCGGGCACACAGCTCGTTGCAGCTCTCAGCGATGGGCTGTGGGACAGCAACGCTGGTCTTGGGTGGGCACAGGTCGTAGCAAGACATCTTTGCG